AAAAGGGGAAGTTCCCTGGGCCTGACCATCCCTTGTGGTTCACTTCTGTAATATTCCAGTGGCAGTTTTGTGCACATGTATATGCTGGGCAAAGGGAAATATCAGCTCATAATTCCCAGGCCTGCAGGAAAATCCTGCAGTCCTAGGGACACTTTCAGCAGGCTGAGGCTTTTTGTGCAGTGCTTACCTTCACACTGTGCCTCTGACCTTACTTTCCCAACCTTGCCCTGACAGAACACCTCAGAGAGCTGTACTTTTAGGGACTTCCTGTTGGTCTCTGCTGTAACTTCCTTTCTAGGGGTTCACAGTGTGGAGGGGGAAACAGTGTGAGGTAAGACTGGAATGACCTCACTTTCCTGCAACTCTGAAAGAGAATGATGTCCAAGAGAACAGGCACTCCCAGCACCTCCTGCTCATTGCAGTGGAGCATGCCTGCTGTACAAGGACTTTCAGGGGCGGGAAAGAGCAAGGCTTCCTGGTGACCTAGCAGAGTAGGTATGGTCCATCCAGCTCCCCTCCACCTGGCAGTACCCAGGACCTCCGGTTCCAGAACAGGTGTGTTCCATCAGGAGCTCTATTTCCAAGTCCTGCATTTAATGTGTAAAGCAGTGGAAAGTATTGTGCACCCTTCAGACCTGGCTAATATTTTGAAATTTCATTTTCATTTTATTAAGTGTATTTAGGGCTGACACAACCTGCCAGAATGCATTAAAAACTGAATGCATATAACTTCCAACACATGGCTTGGCTTGCTTCCGTTATGCTGCCCAACCCATGTACTGCACTCCTGATAAACTCCAGGGCTGAATGGGTGCCTTATCCTCTGTCCATGCACAAATTGGCTGCAATTTAGTTAAACCAGTTTGAGTGGACTCTGTTATTCATGCCAAAAGTGCCCTATTTTGTTGAATATAAGCCTGCTCCTAATTGAGTTAAACTAAATGGAAACAAGTCTGGCTTAGACAGAAATATGAGCATCCACACAGCCTTTTGTGCAAATTTAACTAAATTGTTTTGAAAATATACTGCTATTTCAACTGTTGCAACTGTGTGTAAACCATGCCTTGGCTTTCAAAGAAATTCAGTGCTTCAACTCAATGGCATCTCTATTGAGGCAAATCATATTGTAGTCAACAAGGAGTGCTGGTTCTGACAGTGGATATTTTTGTGGCATATACATTTAGGCATTAGCAAATGAACTGGCCCCAGTACAAGACCACAAAAGAGACATTCAGAATTAGTGTCACTCCATCACTTTAGTGTGGTCCCCATTTACTTATTATACAGTACTGGCCACCACAGCATCTAAATGCTGAGTATGGACAAGTTGCTGCCACAAACTGTACTCTTGGGCAACCTTGTTTATTTGGCAATGAAGGGATGAATGCTGGGACAGAATCTGGCCCTGCAAGTGCAAGGGGGTGATTTATCCTGACACTTTGTTACAGAGGTACAGTGAGATGTTATCCACATAGTATCCATGAGGCTGAGAAATGCAGTGGAACTATCATCTGTTTATTTATTCCAAACACCCGTTGCATTTTGTCTCTTAAATTGAGATTAGAATCAGGCCTGTGATCATGCCTACATTGTCTATCCTACAGTTGGCTTGCATGAATGTGTAAACTTAAAATTGGTGTGGCACTAGATTTCTGCACCTGGGTTTATTTAACAAGAAAATACAAAGATGGGCCAGATTCTGGTACTTTTATTGACTTCACAATAAATTGGCATCAATATACAATGGAGTATTCATAGTATGCAATACAAGTAAGGGTGCTAGGGTCCTATGGGACTTGGTTTGTGAAGCTGGTATCAGTTGAGTGGGTAAGCATATGTGAAAAATCTGGAGAGCAGGAGATAGAGGATGATGAGGTGTGGAAGGATTGACTGTATTTTCATTGCTTCAAGACTTCACCCTTTCCAAGAAAAATAGTCTGCAGCTTGAATATTTATCTTTGTTTCAGGAGTACACGTGTGCAAATGATGTGTGAACTTTTTATGAGAGGGTGTGAAAGTGTGTACATGACTGAAGTGTGAATTACACATCTATTTGTATGACGATGTCAACAAGTACGTGAAATCTCTCTTGCACGTGTATGTCTCCTTCCCTCCCTCTCCTGTCTGAAATCCACATAGACACGTGTGAGTTCCTGTGCTTCGGAAAGAGGGGAAAATAGATTTGTGCAAGAATGTGTGTTTGTAAATGTTTGCGTGTTGAGCAAGCACTCCCTATGGAACAAAACCAGATGTTTTTATGCGTTCTCAGCTCTTAAACGTTTTTGTCATGATTTCTTTAGGATTAGTGTTATTATGGAGGGGGTTTTTTTTAGAAAAAGGGAAAGTCACAGAGCTCTCATCGGAGACATGAGGAGAAAGTTATTTTTAAGAAGGAATGAGGTTTTGAACAAGAAAAATTAGGAAGAGACAAAAATAGTTCTGTGTTGCAGAGGAAGTAATTACTCTCTTGTGGAGCAGCCCAAACTCACCTCCTGTGAGGAGGCTTCCTGTCGCTATTGTTCCCTGCAGTGAACGTGCATGGCACATGCTTTTTCTTTTTGCAGGGAGCTTGCAGGGCAGGAGGTAGCACATGGGTCACAGAAGTTTTTCCAAATCATCCCAGATAAGGAATCTAGCCTCACAATTCTCAGAAACCCAGGAACTGGGCAAGTTGAATGTATGGCTGTGACAGCATACGGGACAGCTGGTGATCCATGTTCTTTAAGGCCAGATCTTCAGGTGGTGCGAGGCACAATAGTTCCAATGATCTCAGCAAAGCTAGGCCAATTTGTCCTCTGAAGATGTTGGCCTTAAAGCCTTTTCAAGGGATAAACCTACATTTGCAGTCACACAGGCTAAACACAGTGTTGGCAAACCTGTGCGGGGGCTGAGTTGTACTGTATGTCTTGTGGTATGTAATGTCTGAAGAGCATCCAGAGAAATGAAATTTGGTTTCCTGAAGAAAGAGAAAGGGGTAACTTTCAGAAGCGGGTTCATTTGTGATGGACTAATTATCTCTGTTATCTCTGCCTTTGTGTAAAGATCACTATAATTGTTCATCTGTGCTAGAGATCAGGCTCCCCCCTGTGCTTTGTCAGTAAGTACAAGATTGTGCATCCCTATTAGAAGAGAAGGAGGAGGAGGACTGGCTCTGTTTTGTGATCTAACACAGATTAGCACATCTGAGTTGGAAGTAAGGGAAGCAACACTGCTGAAAGCCTGGCTTGTTGAATCAACGTAGAGTAGCATGCCTGCCCTCTCTTTTTCTCCCCCATTTGAACTCTTGATAAGCCCATGTAAGATAGAGAAGGTGGACACAATAACACGCTCTGGATGGGGGATGGCTGAACTGCACCTGTAGCAAAGAAGATAGTGTCTTGTTGGGTGACTGCTGAGCAGTAATATATAATTCACAAGACCATGCTGTTTCATGCAGATGGTGATACTGAAGCATGACAGGGTTAGAGGAGCAAAATCTCAGAGGCATTTCCTTTATTCCCCTTTGTCCTGCTCTTTCCTGCTTTCCTCCTGGTGCACTGTAGCTCTTAAATTAAAATCTTCTCCAGACAAAGTGTTTCTGGCCCTAAGGAATTTCATCCTTTGCTGACAAACATCTTGCCTTGTCAGTGCTGTGTTGTAAATTCCTTGAATATGGCTTCAGTAGCAATGGAGGGTGTTGAGCACTTTCCTGGACTGGGCTGTTTATAGTCATTTATAGCTCCACTGTGTCCAGGTACTTGTGTTTTTAATGTGGCAACTTTATTTTCTCCTGCTCCTAGTCTAGCCTAGAAGACAAAAAAGCCTATCTCTAAACCAAGGATCAGGTTACCAAAGAGCAACAGCCCAGCACTTGCCTCTTAAATATATTAATAGTGCTCACATTTGGTGAATCATCACAATTTTGCGTAGCTGCTTGACTTTATTAGTTCAGTGGCACTATTTCACAGCTATGGCACACTGTCATCTGCTAGAGGTAGTTGTAGTACCTATTGGTGGCAGTGGTGGCCATTTCGTAGGGGTGAAGGGTGAGGAAATCCAGAAATGTAGTATGTGGATGTATATCGGAGAGAGGGACTTTGTTGAGGTTCTTCATATGTTATCAATGGACTCTGATTCAGACTTTCCTTCTAGCGAGTAATGAAATAATAAATCAGATCTGCAGCATTCATGAGATTAAATGTTTTTTTGAAGATGAAATCACCCTCCAGGGCCTGTTATACCCCAAGACTGAAAGTGCTTCTTCTGCTCAGCATCTAATTGTTACCAGGCCATTTGTGGCCCAGCACCACAAAACCACCATTGTTGATTATTGTAGCCTGTAATTCCAACAGCTCAGTTGGCTTGAAGCACTCCAGGAGGAGAGAGAGACAAAACTCAGAAGGGAGGTATTGGGAAGAGGGTTGGCAGACAGAGAGGCAGGACTGTCTTGTGGTTTAAGCACGGGATGGCGCGTCAGGAGATCTGGGATCTGTTCCCAGCTCTGCCACAGACTTCCTGTCTGGGTTTAGGCAAGTTGTTTAACCCTTCTGTGCCTCCGTTTTTTTACCTGTCAAATTTGGATGATGAATTTTCAATATTCTACAGGAATATTGTGAATTTTAATCCAGTAATGCCTGGGGGTGCCCTTGATGTATCTATGCATGAGTGCTGCAGAACAGTATGTGAAGGAGCCTGTAGGAAGGAGGCATTAAAGGCAGCTCCATATAATCTGATATCCCCATGCCTCTTTTTTCATACCTCTGTAATGTGTTGGCAAGAGCCCTTATGTCTCTTTCCTGTTCTGTGTATAATGTGGTATGTGTATTGAGGGTCCTGTATATGATAATCACCTTCACTGGAAATGTCCAGAGATTAGCTTTGTACAGGACTGGTCTGCTGTAAAAGGCCTGTAAAATATTCTTTATCAGAAAACCACTGGGGAAGACATAGAGGAGTCAGCTGTAAGGCGTATGATGTTCATAACCAATTTTAGCCACTTGTTCTCTTGTTTGTTTTTATAGTTCAATCGTGTGGGGGTCGTTTGAATTCCAAAGATGCTGGTTACATCACCTCACCTGGATACCCACAAGATTACCCCTCCCACCAGAACTGCGAGTGGGTCATTTATGCCCCAGAATCGAACCAGAAGATTATCCTCAACTTCAACCCTCACTTTGAAATTGAAAAACATGACTGCAAGTAAGAGCCGTCCTCTTTTTCTTTGGTCTGCTCCTCCTTCTCTTCTGTCCTTAATCTATTAACATGGGGATGTGGTGTTCCCTGCAATGTGATACCATGGGATGGTTCCAGTCTCTAGGACCTCCTTATGTCGCTGTTTTTCAAAGCAAGCAATGTCTGCTTGCCTAGATCAGTCTGTGGTCCAACTTGACACACACAAGTGCATTCCTCAGATATGGTTGGCTAATTTAACTTGAAGTAGCAGTGAAGGCAAGGCAGTTCAGGTTTCAACTTGGGTTTGGAGGTTGAGTTCTGGCCTATTAGGGAACCTGGAATTGAAATCAAGCTTTGCTAGCCAAAGTTAAACATAAGTTGCCTTTGTCTTCACTGCTGTTTTAACCCAAATTAGCCAATCAAATTAAGAACACGTAGGCCGGGGACAGAAATGACACACAAATTGGTATAACTGATCAGAAACAGTTCAAATCTGTAACACAAGAGAAGTTCAGTGCATATAAACTGCTTTCAAAATGGCCAAAACTGATTTAAGATAAACCTGGATGGATGTAGTATCAGACATAACTGGTTTGATTAAATTAGTTTACTGAACTTCTGCCCCAGATCCCCTCCAGATTCAAGTTAACTCACAATCCCCCAGCATCCCATGATGATTTGCACCCACTGCCCCCCTTCAACAGGGTGGGCAGGCTAGCTTTGGCCCAAGCTGTCTGCTCTGGCTGAGCAGGGAGGTGTGCTCTAGCACCCTCCAGCCTTCTGGTCTGGTTTTCTTCAGTCATGTGGCTGCATTTCCAGAATCAAAAGTGAATGTCTGTTCACTTGTTTAGCAGTTCAATCTATGCAGCTTAGAGTAAACCTGTGAAGATTGAATTGATTCAGCCTCGGGCTTTTTGACTGTCTGTACTTAGCCACATTGTTTTTTGTAGCACATAACTGAGTACTAGGACTGTGCGAAATGGCACTGTTCCATTTTGCCTTGAGTTTTGAGGGTTTGACAGAACAGCGTTTCGTATCGAAATTCATTTTGATTTGAAATGGCCGTTCTGTTTTGCTTCATCGAAACAGTGAGGCTGTTTTGACTGTTTCAGTGTTTCGCTAGATTGGCCAGGGCCGGGGGTCAGCCTGGCTGGGCTAACTTCCCATCCCTGGCGCTATGGTTGAAACATTTTGACTTTCAAAAGGTTTTGACTAGCTTCGTTTTGTTTTGAGGCTGTTTTGAATCCCTTTATTTCATTTCGATTTTGCTGTTTTGACCTCGAAATGAGTTGAAACGCTGTCAAAACGAAATGGACAGTGAAATTTCGCACAGCCCTACTGAGTACATAGGGCCAATGGAAAAGGTGTGTGTGAATCCCAGCCTCAGGTTGCAAATTTGTAGCAATTCTTGGCACATAGAAATGTTTTGTTTTGTTCCCTGTACCAGAGTGTTGGTTCTGCTGCTCTTGGCAAAATGTGATTTTGAAGGAGAGATTGGGAGGCTGGATGTCCAGGAAAAACAATTAGCAGGTAGTAAAGAATAATTAACAGCCTCAGAGGGCACCATTAAAGGCTGAAGTAATCATATGGTCTCTGTGGACTTAAAACTGTGTATCAGCAGGAGTCAGTGGCCTGCTATAGAGATGCCTGAAATGTGGAAGAGCTTAATCTCCTAGAATGGGCCTGATCCTGAGGTCATGACACAGGCTGTATTTCTACTGTTGTAAAAGAGGATGGGGAGGGGGCCATCTGTTAAAGGACTACAGGACAGGGCCTACTGGCAGAACTAGAGATCTCATTCACTGTGACAAATGATTGATATATTTGGCGAATTTATTGAAGGTTAAAATTATAGATCCAGATACTCAAATGGTACAAATTGACATAGTTATACTAACGTTGTGCTAATTCACCCCAGTTGAGAATCTGTCCCATTATATACATATAGGGCTCACCTACATATGCATTTAAATGCAACTAAATTTAATGCACATTAAGCTGTTGGCCCCAGCAGGCCCTCCCGCCCAAGGCCCAGGACAGCTGCACACCCATCAGTGGGGGCCAGGGCACTGCCTATGGGAAGCCCTGCCCAACCCCCTCCTCCTGCACTTCCCGCTCCAGCCCACCTACCCCACTGCCCATATACCCTCTGCCCACTCCCTACCCCACTCTCACGACACACACGGGTGAAACAAAAAAACTTATCTGCACAACACCCACCCCCATCCCTCCGCGCTCTCCCCCCTCAACAAACAGAGCCCCTCTACCACTATCCCCACCCACCAACAATAAAAATCCCGCTTACAAGTGGGAAAACTGTATACAAGGGGAAACTGTATGCAATAGTACAATACAATATACAAACTATAAACAATGTACCTGCCCCAAGCCCAGAGTGAGGGGTTTGGGGAGAAGGGCTAGAGGGCAGGGTCCTGGGCAAGGTTCCCTCTAAGATGCACTCGTGTACGGCCGCGCATAACTAGAGGTATGGCCGTGCACAGCCTTTTCAAGGAGAGGCTGGGGCAGGGGGCTGGCACAGGCTTCACTGGCTCCAGGGAAGTGCTCCGCTTCTGCGCATCAGGGCCTGGGAGTGGAGCACTTCCCCAGAACCGGCAGAGCCTGTGCTAGCCCCCCGCCCCAGCCTCCATCCCTGCCTTGCCTCACCTCAGGGAGGAGCTGCTGCCTGCCCTGAGTGAGGCTCTGCCAGCTCCGGGACACTGCTCTGCTCCCCTGCATTGCCTTGGGGAGTGAGGAGGCACGTGGCATCAGGGCTGGGGAGAAGAGCAGTGTCCCAGAACCAGTGGAGCCTCACTGGGGCAGGCAGCAGCTCCTCCCTGAGGTGAGGCAAGGCAGGGATGGAGGCTGGGGCGGG